AGGGCGGGAGACGGGCGCCTCCCTGGCTACCTGCTGCCGTAGGAGGTCGTTGTCCATCTGCAGTCGCTCGGCCTCCTTGAAGGTCTCCTGCATGCGCTGGTTGGTCTGGCGCAGCTCCCGGATGTAGTCGCAAGCCTTGGACAGGATGCCGCCTTTGCTCTGCATGCACGGACGGACAGACAGACAGGGGAACCCTTCAGCACACAATGCCCTGGCACCCCCTTGGCCCCATCACCCGCCTTGTACCCCACAACCCCCCCAAAATCCACCCCGCCTCCGCTACCATGGAAACCCCTCTACCCAAGCTCCCCCACTCCCTACTGGCCCTGGAACTCTCCCCACGACCTCGACGCTAGGGATGGAAAATCCCGTTGAAAACGTTAACGTTAGCTGGCTGAACGACACGGTTAACCGGCCGGTTCACTGGTTACTCTGCCGGCCAGCGGGGAGGCGTTCCCAGGAAGTAGGAGGGGGCTGGGGGGGTTCCAGGGACGCGAGTGCAGGGAGGGGCTGATGTCGGGGGAGATTTTAGAGCACTGGCTCACCGGGTGGCCTACTGGGGCAACCAGCTACCCCTTTACATCCCTACTCAGCGCCCCACCCCGATTACCCCCCCCCAGCAGGAAGGGACAAAGCCAGAACTTGGGGGCAACTCCCCCCACACTGAGGTTTTCATCGCTCCCCTCTGCTGTCTCCCACCTTCACCCCACAGGGCTCTCGGGCTCTGTGAGCCAGCGGGGAGGCATTGTAGAGTCTTCTCAGGCCCTGGGGTGTCACTCTAAGGTTTTGGGAGCCCTGGAGGAGTATGTTATTGTAGGGTCTCCTGGAAGCAGGGCGCCAGAGGCACCAGTTTGTTACTGGAGGGTCTCTCAGACATGCCAGGGCCCCTCAGCGAGAGATGGCTTTGCAGAGCAGGTGGGAGGAGTGGAGTTTTCCCATGCCCACCCCTCCAGGGAAGGCTGGAATCCTTCATCCCGCCCTCTGCACTCTGGTTTTTTGGGAGACCCTACAAAAACAAAACCAATGCACAGCCTTGGCCAGCCTCCCCCTCGTCATCCCCTCCCAGCCCCTGCCCCTCACCGCGCCCGTCTTGCTGTTGTCAGTGTTGCAGTCTGGAATGATTTTCGATAGCTGGACAATCCAGTTGTTAATTTTGTCTCGCCTCCTCCTCTCCACTAGGGGGCAAAAGAGAAAAGCACACGGGTTATGCACAGCACCCCCACCTGGCACCTCCGCCCAGCCTCTTGGCAAGTCACAGCAGGGCTGGAGTCACCGGGAAAACAGGGAAGGAGGCCAGAAAATGAACAAAAAAACAAATTTGAGTTTTGGCCAAAACTCTAAAAAACTCCTGCAAGGGCCTTCTGGGAATTGTGGTCCAGATGCCACCTGCTGCAGCCCACTGTACTGAGTCATCTCTCTGGCAAGACTACACCTCCCATGATGCACCAGTCCTGCCTCCTGGTCAGATGTGATCAGGACAGTTGCGTGGCCATAGTGCATCTTGGGGGATATAATCTCACAAGAGAGCTCAACCAACCAAAATGCATGAGTCACCACAGTGCATCCTGGGAAATGTAGTTTCACCAAACAGCACAACACAGAGGCCAGCAGGCATGAGGCCACATGGTGGAATTTAAGAAAAATTGGTAGGAAAAAACCCTACCTAAAACCAGGTTTCCATTGGATACCTTCTTCCTTAAACCTGAAATCCTACTGAGATGGACGACATTTGGTTTAAAAATATTAGGGGGCTGTACCCCCCCTCTGGGGGTAGGTGTCCAGCTGGAGGGGGAGGGTGCAGGAGCAGGCTGGCGGGGTGGGAG